GTAGCAGCGGCAGGGACAGCGGCAGCCGTAGCAGTAGTATTATTATAGCAGTAGTAGTCGTCGTCGTCGTAGCAGTAGTCGTAGTAGTAGTAGTAGTAGTAGTAGTAGTAGTAGTAGTAGTAGTAGTAGCAAAAGTAGTAGAAGTAGACGTAGAAGTAAAAGTAGTAGTAATGGTAGTAGGTTTAGGCTTATGTTTAGGTTTAGATTTAGCATTAGTTAGTATTAGTATAAGTGTTAGTGCTAGTGTTTGCATATTAGTATCAGTCTTAGTAGGAGTATTTTTTATTGGTACGACTATTAGTATTGAAATTAAAAGTAATAGTAAGATTAATGTTAGTATTCGTTTAGAATTGGCATTCGTGTTAGCATTAGCATTTGTGTCGTACTCGTATGGTGTGAGTCTTCGTATTAGCAATTAGCGTCAGTATTAGTGTCAGTATCAGTATTCGTACTAGTATTTGTCAGTTTTCGTCATAGTCGTAGTAGTAGTCGTCGTCGTGGTCGGCCGTGGTGGTAGCGGTAGGGGTAGTGACAGTGGCTGAGGCAATGCTAATGGTAGTGGTCGTGGTCGTAGTCGCCGTGGTCGCCCCATAGACATCGCAGTAGTAGTCGTAGTGGTAGTAGTAGAAGCAAGAAATCGACAGATGGGCTTTGCTGCCACATGGTGCAGTTACCTGACGATAGATCCACCCGCAAAGCGGGCTGCGACAATATAAAATCTACTCTGCCGGGCACGCATCGTTACCTGCTTTCCAGATCCAACCAAGCAGCAACTAAGAGTTCATCAACTTGACCGAGCGACCTGAGCGGCGATTTTCTAGCACTTGGGTTCTTCAAGCGCTTAACTATGCCTGTTCATTTGTTGTGGTGCAGCGCAGTCCATGGAACCGCAACAACCCGAGGCTGCAACAGTGAAACTCAAAATGAGCCGCGGCGGTGGAAGATAAAGCTTTGCGAGCTTATCAAGGGTCACAAACTTGACTAGTCATCTGTGACCTTCGAGCTGCTGCAGGACTGGCAGGGGTGGAGGATGGGGGGTAGAGGTAAGTGGCTGAGGGCATGGAGGGAGCCCTAAGGGAAGCCCCGAGCCGGAGAAACGCGCGAGGCTTTCTGCAAGCGCAGTGCTCATACCGAAGTGGATCCTGTCATCACGGATGTGCAGCACAAGTGGGCTTGTTCACTTCGCCGTGATGCTGGAAGGCACAAGTGGCCGCTTCCAGCAAGACCACAATGTCGAACTCCCTGCTCGCTGGCCTGGGTGCCTGCTGAAGTTGATCAGCAGACTAAGCTCTTGCGTCACTAAAGTCACTAAAGCCAAGGTGCAGGCACATGCCTTGCCGATTGCTAGCACCGTCGTGGTCAAGCAAACCAACGAACCGCACGCGATGTGTTCGCAGGGGCTGGGGCACAGTTCATGCCCTGACTATTCATAGACTTAGTAAACTTCCCCGCCCCCTCCTTTCCTCTTTCCCCCACCCCCGCGAACTGCGAACAATCGGTGAACCGCCACGTTGACAACTTCTCTAGGCTGACTGCTTAGGACCAATGGTGTTGACTGTGCAGCAGCACATGTAGCTCGACTATCCATCTCGAAAACGGGGCAACGGCGAGCATGGACAAATGCAGGGGACCGACAATGTTCGTCCCGTTGCTGCTTTGCAGCTTGAACGAAGTAATCGAACAATGCGCACCACCCTGTCAAGGCAGCAGGGCGCACAAACTGCTGTGGGAGGGTCTTCAAGAAACCGGCTTGGCATGCTTTGCTAGGCCACACTGTCACACACAGGACATGCATCACGCAGGACGCAAGGGATCTGCACCCATGGCCCGCTCCTTGATTGTACACTGATTGCATAGGTTTTCTGACAAATTGCTGCAGGAGTTGCAAATGAAGACACCGTACCCATCATCTGTGAAGATGTAGCAGCTCTGTTGGCATGAGTGAGCGAAGCAATGCACCGAAGGCGATGCAGGCATGAAGAGCCGAAAAAGGTTGACTGTTTCAAAAGGAACATCCCATCGGGAGATTTCCGATGGGCCAGACGACTGCCCGTGCAGAGGCACATGCTTCAGCCTGTTGTTGATAGAACTCGGAAAGCTAGTCTTCAACAAGGCAGGTGATGCGAATCTGCACAGCAGGCGTCTTGAAAAGACTGGCACAGACCACCCAGAGCAGAAAGTGCCGCTGTACAAAAAGCTGAGCTTGCCCAGCTCGCGCTCAAAGCAGCGCTGGTCTGGTAAAATCTCAAGAATCTAACCCACTCAATTCCACCAACTAACTGGGACATTCCCAGTTCAGAAATCTATGGAGCCGCGCAGGCTCAGGCTGGTCATGTGGCTCCCCGAGGCTTGTCCGAGATGTCCGAGGCCTGCGGGCAATCCGCATGCTGGCATCTGCTGGCGGGAGGATGCCAGTTTCTCGGCCCTCGGCCTGCCCAGTGCGACGCGAAGTCGACTAAGCACCTCCTTCTTGAGGTTGGATTGAACTCTTCGTCCATGCGGGCTGAGGGGCCTGGCGGATGCAGTTAGGAGAAGAGTTCCGCCATAGTCCGAGAGAGGTCCCCAAGTGGAGCGTGCATAGAGACATAGTCGTGTTTGCTCCCTGGCCTCTGGCGGCGGCACCATGAAGAGCCCCAGGCTCTGCGCCTCGCGGCAGCTGGAATCGGCTGTGCCCAGGTCGACTCAACTGGTCCTGGCCTTGCCACCCTCGGCACCGGGCAGCGGTGGCAAATCCCCGGCCTGCGTCGTTGAGAAGATCGAGAGATTTCGGAAGCGACGAAATCGAAGTCTGAGACGCTTTGCGATATACTTTTTTTGGACGAAACTGCAAGCGTACAAAGTGTCGCCTGCAACTGATCCATGAATGGCCGACTTTTGGATACTTTCGGCCTTGCGAGGCCTCCCAGAAGGCCAGTGACCACTGGCCTCCTCTGCACCATAACCTGCCCAGTGCGGATGTGCTTTCGTGACTTCGAGAAGAGCAACATACCTGTCACGCATTAGATAAGTCAGATTTACCGAGGTCTTGACCCAATTCGCTCTCCCAGCTGGGCTGCTGCGAGGGCAGAGTGCATTTCTCGAAATCGCCCTGGCGGCGCCTGGCAATCTTCCGGGTGGCCCGGGAGAGTAGCAGAATGCAGCGGCTGACGCTGTCGTTCCCAGCCTGTCTGCCCCAGGGCTCTTCTGCCACCAAACCTTCCAGAAATCAAACCAGACAGGAGGCATCTGCTCACTGCTGGTCAAGCATGAACACAAGAGAACTGGTTGCAAGCTGCACCTCGGATCTGCAGGAATACTGGGTGCTGTGGCCTGGCATCAAGACGGGCAACTTCTGTCCAGGTCAAGCATCAGTGGTCAACATTTCATGTCTGCTCCTCCACTATCCACCTTCCATGCACTCCCACCCACACCCAGGGCATGCTTGCACTTCTAATGCTCATCGTCCGGAAGAGACTTGTGGTTCGCACTCGGACTCGTTTGATTGTGCAGCTTGTGAGTGCTCCCTGTGCTCTGTTTTTAGCCACCACCCGTTCCTTCCTTCCGAGCAGAATCGCGGGTTAATGGTTTCAACAAGGGGAACGTTCACTTCTAAGACAGGCTAGAAGTGAGGCCGACAACAACCCTGCGAGAGGGACAAGGCCCCAGGAGGTGAGGTGGCCTAGACTGATCCATGCAATCAATACAACCAAGGGCTCAAGCACAGGTCTTTGTCTGCCGATGCACGTCTTAGCTTCGAAAGTTTCGAGACACCGGCACGTGCGACAGAGCTACTTGCCACACCCTCTCGCGCTATCAGTATATCTTTTTACATGGTTCGGTTGCCTCGTTGCGAAAATCCGGGACGTGCTGAGCATATTCTCTTGGCGTCAGGAAGGAGCATCCGGAACACCCATCCAGGAGTCATCAAAGTCATACTATCGCTACGGCCTGCTGCACAGCCCATGTGATGTGCCCTGGACGGACCTGCGCAAGAGAGTTTGAGTTGTGAAGGGTCGCAAAACACCGCAGGGAGGAAGTCACGCCCAAGGTTCGGCACCTGGCCCACTCTGAAGGTGGACGCGTTGGTCGGCGATGGAGTTGTCCATGCGCCTGCCGGTCAAAATCTTAGCTTCATCACAGCACTGCCCTCCATTGATGAGCAACGTGAAAACGAATTACGTCGAATTGTCATTTCCTGAGCTCCCGGGCTCGGATTCCAACCTGGCCGAAGGTGGTCGCCTTCGTTTCTCCAGGACTCACGTACCCTGTCCCAAGGTGCCTCCTCACTGGCAGCTCAATACATCTTCCTGCAAGCACAAGAGGCTCCACCCCGCGCCAGTTGCGGCCCTGCGCGCGCGGTCGCGGGACCTGCGCAAGTCTGGAATGACTCCGTAGATCCGCTCCAGGACATCTACACTCGAGGCACCCGCAGAGCTTAGCTGGCCAGAAAGCAATATTCGGCTCCTGTGCTGCAGCAGCGGATCTCCCTGCCGTTTGTGGTCTCGATCGAGCAGAGCTCAAGCTTGAGCCTCAGGACCGACAAGCCATGGAAGTCAACTGCTGTCATGACCGATGGCCGATGGCGGGCAGGAGCATTTCAGGATTCAAGATTTTTGTGCCTCGCCTTCCAGACTCTTAGCCTTCAGTTCATCCTCTCCTCTTGCACCTCTGTCTCCACCCTGCCACCTCGTCGTCGGTCCATTGCATTAATTGCTAATCACCATATATGTAGACAGTGGAAGTGACCATGATAACGATCTCTACCTTCATGCCGATGATGGGTTGAAGAAGAAGCTGGATACAGACGACGACAACGACGACGACGGTGGCCAGTTATGCTGATGTCGATGATGATGGTGTCGGGAAAGTTCTGGTCATGTGCTAAAATCTCGGCTATGGCTTTCTTGATGTTAAAGCTAGTATTTGTGATTCTAGGAGGAGCAGCTGGATGACGCAACCGGCGATGATGGTGACACGATGCTGACATCGTCATCATCTTCCTCTTTTTGATTGTCAAGAATGCTGTCCGCGTCTTCCTGACTTCCCCTGGCTGTCACCGCTAGACCACCAAATGCACGGTCATCTTCATGATTGTCGCCAGTGGTGGCCGCCACCATCCTGACGGCCTAGTCGTTGTCATCCTTATCACCTCAGCATCCTCACGGCAACATTGTGACACTCACCCCACTTGCAACACCCACTCACTCATCAAATCATCATCAATACACATCTCCGGTTTCATCATCTTTGCCAGCATCAGCCACCGTCATCGCCACAATCATCAACTCCATCACGGTTATATCACTACTGCCATAGTTATCGTTACACCGTTATCATCGCCATCGTCATCTTCAGCATGGTCGTCGTTAGTTACTCGCATCCGACAGGATGGCATCAACGACACAGCCCCGCACGAGGCGAGCTACGAGCGGCGGAGGGAGCACACAGGGGCTCGATGATTGAGCATAGCAGATAATGCGAAAGGGCAAGAAAGAGCGTGAGAAGCCTGCTGTTACTGTTGGAAACCTCGATTTAGAGACGGAGTCAAAGATTACTTGTTCAGGCCTTTCATGTTTTACGTTTTCCAGGATTTCAATCTACCTCACGGCAGGCTGCTTCTGGGGAGTCTTGCCCGTGACATGTTGGAAAGAGATAGGCCCTTTACATTAGAGGGGTGTTGGGGGTGGGGTTGTATGATGATAGTACATCCAACAGTGGTACAGTAGCAGTACAGTAGCAGTACGGTGGCAGTACTGCGTCGCACAGTACTACTCGTAGCAAGGAAGTAGCACAGAAGCCGTACCGCAGCACAGTAGTAGCTAGTACAGTAATCGTACAGTCGTACAGTAGCAGTGCCGTCCAGATTACGCACATCCGTGACCAAGTCCCACGGCCTAGACTCGCGAACAGTAAACGTTCAACCAGCAATCCTTCGCGACAGTCTGGGATCACAGAAGCCTAGATCTGCTTTTTCATCGCCTCGACAACCTTTGAGAAGTCTTGTCTTATCGCATCAAATATAGCCCTATCGTTGTAGCGCGTCCCCTATCGATCTTGGGGGTTTCGGGTACTGGATTAGCTTCCCACGAACGGCCCAAAAGGTGTTTGGACTGTGGCACAGGGGCACCCACCAGCGTCGCAACGGAAAATTGCGCCAAGGGGAGACTCTAGCACTGCTGCTGCTGGCGCTGCTTCTGCTCCTGCTACTACTGAGTTACTACTCCTCCTGCCACTGCTAGCTACATGAATTTCAATGTGGAACCGACTGGAACCACGAGCCGGCACCGATTCCTGATGAATCGCTGGAACCGCAACGCCGGTTTCATGAACCGCGAACCTGCCGAACCGAACCGCCGGCTAGGTTCCAGACCAAAATCTTTATTCTCCCGCTCAATAGGCACCGCATGGGGGAGTACTGTGCTCCCCGCGCATAAAACGCGCCACGCATCGCCACACAGGGATGTGCAAACGTGCCAAATCTGTACTCCCGCGTTTTCCGGCTTCGCAAAGAACATACAGTGTTTGGCCCAGTGAAACCGCCAAACAGATACAGCATGCCGCGATTGCCACAACAGGCTTTCCGAGGGGATGTATGCGCGTAAGTAATCGAAAAACTGCAAAAGAAACCGAACCGCACGAACCTGAACCGTGGTTCCAAAACTTCATACCGAGTCGAACCGCTACATCCACGTACCTACTGCCATCACACAGACACAACTCCCCTCGCTATTCGTAATGTTCAGTACTTTCCTGACTATAAGAACAATATTCCCCCCTTGGCTGATGTCCTCTCACTGCCTACTGAATTTCACATCGCTCCGAGGTGGTCACCTCGCTGATTTGCTTCCGTCAATCTTGGCCCGCTGACCGCAGGCACCCCCTGCGCGAGACACCGAGACAGCGCGGATTCTAGGGTTTAGGGTTTAGGGTTTATAGGGTATCAAGAATGCAGCAACGCGTGGCGGACGTTTGGGGTCCGCAGCCCAAAGCCCAAGCTTTGTCGCCTGAAGCCCGAGGAGGCTGGCTTCCTCGAGTTGCCTCGAGGACAAAGCACCCCCGAGGCGCTCACAAAAGAAGAGCTCTCGATCTAGCATATTTAGCATATCTCGCCTTCGCTTCGCCGCTTGGATGATCTTCTGCACCTGGAAAAAGTCTGCCTATACGGCTACCGAGTAGCACAAATTTCCGCCTCCTTGTCAGATCGGCTCGAGTCTTCGCCTAACAGAAGTCCGCTTCACAGCAAACGGCCCGGTTCTTCAGCGCCTCGTGGAGTCCCCGGGCGTGATGCAGGACGCGGCAACTCAGAGCCAAGGTGCTCCTCACAGAAAAACTCAAGGCCTGAAGGACAAACTTCTGCAAAGCGGACAATGCGGAATGCGCAGCTTACACTGACACTGTGTTCCTGGAGCGGCGGGGTTGTGGATCGCTGGGCACGCTGGAATATCATGCGCCCACGCCTCGCTAAGATTTCTTTGAGCAAGTGGACGCTCGCGCGTTGGAGCACTTCGCTTGGAACCGACTGGAACCGATCGAACCAAACCGTCTCTCCTCCCACGTCTCCGGGCTCCGTGATCACCAAGATGTTAGAATCCGGGCTTGAACGAAACTTCAAGACTATATTGCAGACCTATACCGGACTTGGAGCTGTCTTGGCGGCTTGTCAAGAGGATAACGTTTACGGTGCTGCCGCAGTACGTTTGCCGAAAGCTGCCGGAGAAGTCGCTGCTGTTTGAGCCGCGCGAGTCCTCAGATCCCGTGTGAGCCAAAGACAACGACCGAACCGTACAAGCGATCCAGGCCAGGGCACCGGTCGCGGTGAGGCATAGCTGCGCTCGCAGCTGGGTTCCCGGGTACTCAAAGCCTTGGGGGTGGGTGGGGCTTGCCCACTGCAACTCACCGTGCAATGTTGCTGGGATCCGTGCTGCTGGTGAGCCTGGAGAAACCCAACCTTCGGTGTGCCAACGACGTGCTGCAGGCACGCAGAATCCCTCAGCTGAAGCACTGAAAGAAGTTCTGGCCTTCGGGCAGAGGACCTCAAAGCACAGTGGCAGTGTTTTAACGTGACTACCTTCGGTACATGCACATCATGCAGCCTCCACGTCCCCTTCGGGCCGCTCCCTCTCTTGCATTGCATTGTCTGAGAAACTGAGGCCTCAGCCCTGGCTGCCTTGGCCGTAATAATCCCCACGGATGCCAACCAGGCCGTTCTGCGAGACAAGGAAGCCCATTCGGCTGTGAAAGGCTTCGCTATTGCCCGCAAGTGCGGCAATTCACCGGCTTCGGCTTCGGCCTCCTACTGTACCATTCAAACAAGTTCTGAAACGGTGGGAGTCCACCTCCACCGGCGAACGATTCCCAAAGGTCCCCAGATGTGGATCTTCTTCCAGTTGTGTACAAGGCTACAGTACGGGTGGATCGTGAAGAACGGAGAGCATCTTTAGCAGGCAAAAGCGAGAAAGAGCCCTATATACTTCATGTCTTCCACGAATGATCGTCAGCGCAAGGTGAGCTGGGCCTTGAACTTGATCGGTTGGAAGGCCGTCGCCCGCGGCTCCTGGACCATGTCAGAACTGCCAGAACGATATGATGAATCCCAGCTGATGCTCCCTTCATGGCTCAATGACCCGAGCAGCTCGTGGTCCTGCTCGGGCACACACCTGAGATTGAGTTTCGGGGCATCGAAGATCGCTGCACCGATCACGATGATAGCTCTATCCTAAATGGCCTGTCAGCCGATGTTCCCTATCTCTTCTATTTCATGGACCACATGATGGGGTCACAATGTCCGCTGCTCGGCTTTGGTATGTCTCTCGGTTCAGACGAATACCTGACCCCTACCAGTATGTAACTTGCTGCCATGCCTATTAACATTTAGCCTGCAGATGCCTACATTTCACGTCAGCTGGGCCTTACACGCTTGGAGATACTCAGAGCGGCGCTGCATGAGCTCGTCATCATCCATCGGCAACTGCGACGGAGCTGTTACTATGCCCATGCAACACATCTCTGATGAATTCAGTGGGTGGCTTCGACACAGAACATTCCAGAACCAAGACCAACACAGCAGCAGTACTTTCGAACATGTCCAAAAGCTTGGCTGCACCCAAGTTTGGCCTGGGAAGTCTCCAGCGGTGGATGTCGGGTTCGTCTCCACCTCAATCCAATTTGCAGTTCAGAGCATGTCAGACCCCTTCCTGAACCAAACTGCGCAAACCGACGTTCCCCGAAGCCCAGGAACTCTTGAGCTTGTTGCGCACTTGGCGTAACGTGACGAACTCCTTCGTGCCTTCGGCACTCGGAGCTGTTAGATTAAGTTGCCGTCTATCGTGGACACACGTTCCTGTATGTGAGTATGCTTTTTGGGCAACGTTCCTAAAGTCAACGAATTGGAGTCCTTTTCAAAGGAAACTCGCCAGATGCAACAGGCGCCAAGGAGTTCTCCGAACAGAGCCAAGCTCGCAGGCTCTCTGCTTGAAAGCTCGCATGAGTTTCTTGAGCTTCTGTTAGAAAAACTCCCCGGTCCTCCCGTGAGACGCAGGCAGATCAGGCCTGCACAAACACAAGGAGCAATCACCAGCCGAAGACGAAGTGGGACATGACCTTCGTGATTTGTAGAACCCCAGACAGCCCGGAACAGCTTGACGTCCGAAACATTGGCTGCAGCATAGAAAGGAGCAGGATGTCAACGGAAAGCAGCTGGGCCGGGAACGAGTCCATGCTCAACGCAATGGCAGAGAGCCTGGCAGCCACAGCAGCAGCAGCGGCAGCAGCGGCGCAACAACAACCACAACAACACCACCACCACCACCGCCACCACCACCACCACCAGCCGCAGCAGGAGCAGCAGCAACGAACACAGCGACGACGACGACGGCAGCGACGACCGACCACGAAAATGCAAGGACAACATGACGATGAACATCAGCATTGTGAAAATGCTGAACAATGCTGCACACGATTATGCCGCTGCTGTTCCGGCCTCGCTCACGACCGACGACCACTAAAATGGGCCAAACAAGCACAGGCAAACAACAGCGGCTAAGCTTTCGGTTGAAATTCACTGCAGGCACGGGCAACCGCACTAGAGTGCACCCTAGAGCGTTTGAGCAAATCTGTCGCACCTCTCCGGGGTCATCTCGGGCAGCACCTCTGAGCTTTGCGAACACATGCTCGGCGTCTTGTTGGCCATTTTGCAGCTACGAAACACACCAAGATTCTCTGCACAAGCCGACTCAAACACACGATTATGGAGACGGAGTGGTGTAATGCATCAGCAGCGAGCAAGAAACTGAAAATGCCCCGAGCTTGCTGAGAAGGCCTGCTGCTACGTGCAAGGGCAAAAGGTGCTCTTCACGGCCGTGGACCTGCGAAGGCACTAGGGTCTCTATAAGTACCTATACTACAGCGGCGACTGTGTTGAAGAGACTCCTTCCTGGTGGAGCTAATGATGGAGAAAGTCTTGACCCACTCCTCCGCTCTTAGAAACAAACGGCCTCCCTGGCATGTGGCAACGTAGAGGTCCAGGTCCGCAAGCCTTCAAGGCCTGGAAGGCTAGCGCACGCGTGATTTCCAGACTGCCCACCTGCTCTGCAGCCGTCAAACCAAGAGGAGACAATTCTAAGCCAAGAGGCGTTCCTCCGGAGAAGCACGGCACAACCGTGTCAGCTCCTCTGTCCACCTGCTTCGGATTGCTTGTTTCAGGCAAAAACCGGCTCGAGCAAATGCCTCTCGAGCCGCTCTGGCTTCGTGGCGGAGTTGGTGGAGAGCCCGCTTCCCAAGATCAGCACCCCACGGGACCTCGTCTTCTCCCAGACTCGAGGCAGTGGTGCTGGCAGAGCTAGCACCTAAGGTTCTTTCCTGGGAACCTCCAGCTGGGCCGCTGACCGCAGTGGCGATAAAGCCCTGCCCACCTTTCAGGAAAAGTCTGTTTGGGTTGCGTGGAGATAAGCAGCAAGCGCACTGAAGGCGTGCTCTCCTCCAGACACTGGCGTGCGAGTTCGGAGCCCCGGCGACCGTGAAAGCCGGGGAGGCTGAGCTGCACCACAGGCACAGAAGCCAAGCTGGGCCTCAAAAGATGCGCCGATGATTCTCCGTCTATTCACCGTTCCGACCGTTCCCAGGTGCATGAGCAGCAGTGGAACGAAGACGCCATGGTCCTCAGACAGAGTTTGCAATGCATCAGTCTGTCGCTCCTTCGTTCAGAGCCTATGCTTGGTGCAGCCGAGGCCACCAATGCTCGGGCAGAGTTGACCCGGATCTCCTAGGTCGGCTTTCCACACGCACCGCGCGCGCCATAAGCTTCTGCAACAGTGGTGTTGAAATCCGTTGTGTTGCTCCTGGTTCGCTTCCTGCAGGAGGTCAACAACCCAGCCAGACCTGAGCCCGATGCACAGGTCACTGATACAGTAGCTGCTTTACGGAATCCGGCCAAGCCCCCAGCACCTGCGGATCGCCAGGTGGATGGTAGCGGTGGTGCACCTGCTCGAGGGCATCGTATGCCAGTCTGTCAGGCAGCCGGTGACGGGCTCGGACAGCTGTGCAACAGTGAACGCATGCCGAAGAAGTCCCCGTTTGCCTTCATATGTAGGCTTGCTTGAGGTTTGAAAGTTTAAGTCTGCAATCCCTGCACCAGCCCTCCAAAAAGCCAGAAGGACCAGGTGCAGGCCTGGTGCGGGGTGGTCTTCTTCGGAGTTGTGTGGCGCATGACATTTTGACCTATCTGCCGTCTCTTCGCCTCCACCTCGGCGCCTGGCCTGGCCCTGGCCTCTTAGAATTCTTGGCCGGAGACGATGACAAATCGAGGATTCCAGTCGCCTCGTACATCTCTTTGGATGCTCCGGCATAATCGTAAAGAAGACCTCGCACGACCATCGCAATATCTTCCGTCCACATCCAACGGCTGCAGCTTCATAGTCGCAGTAGTCGCAGTGGCACAACACCGTTTTCAGTACCACCCTGGAGGCCTTGAGCATGAGTCCGGCGCAATGTCACCTGCAACAGTGTCATGTAAGGGTGGCAAATTCTCCGCATGGCAAATTTGTCCTGGCCTCAAGCCCATCCCTGCTCTCCCAATGCGCAGATATCACCAGGATGCATCGCACCTGCAGGGAAAATCGGGAGCCTTCTGCATTCGATCTCGGATTCTGCGGATGTCGAGGCTTCGACCGAGTGCTCATCCAGCCGCAGCCTGCCGCAAGACGCAGGCTTCGGCAAGCCCCCAAACGCCACGTCTCCGCTTGTCGTGCCTTTGGGGCAGCTCGGCAAGGCTGCGCGGGAAGGGTGCGGAGGGGTCCCGCAGCAGAGGCATCGGTCCGAGGCCATGCGAGACGAACCTCGGAAAGAGGGAGGGAAGCTTGCCTCCACTACGACACTCTCAGAACTTGCCACAGAACGCTTGAGCTAGATCCGGCGAGCAGCAGCGTGGGCAAAGGATCGCTATCCATTGGACTGATCACGATCTCCTTTGGTCGAAGCTGAGTCGTGATGGCCACACACGCCAGTCTCTCGAGAGTGAGACTGTAACGCTCTGGCGAGGTTCTGCTGGCTGGAAGGCCTTCTTGAAGCACTCGGCCCTCAGCTCGGCAGAGCTTCCGACTCACTCAAACCGCCGACAGCCGAATGATGTCTGGGTCTTGCCGTCAAGCTGCTGAACCTCAGTCTCGTCGCTGTGACAAACCCGTCGCGAAGTGCTAAATTGGAAGACATGTTGAGCAATTGCCATGGGTATATCTTGTCATGACATTTAGAACTGCGCCGACAGAGTTGGAACCAGCGATTGGGTTGGAGACAATTGTCAGCAAGATGGAGAATGCCGTTAAGCCGCTGTCCCACGGTATGCGGCTGCCCCATGTGGCCCCTTCTTCTTTCCACGATGGCGGGGGCCTTCCACGTCCTCATCCTGGAAAGAAACCGTATTGACACTAGGCCCACAGCTTCGTAGCTTCAGCTGTGCGAACACGCGGGCTCTCTGTGCAGCTCTGTGGTGCCTGCAAAAGCTTCTACGGTTAAGAGTGCACGCGGTGGGTGGGTTGAGTTGTGTTTGGTTGCGCTGGGCTGGGCGGGGCTCGTGGGCCGTGGAACCGGGACTGGAACTATGGCTGCGTGGCTGGGTGGCTGCATGGCTGGTAGCGGGTGCGTGTAATTTCTCTGTCTTTCATGTCGGCCTCTGTCTCTTTTGTCTGCGTTTCTGCGTCTCTTTGTCTTTGTATGCTCCGTTTGCTTTTATTCGTGAGCAAGCCTAAGTAGCACCAAAGCACTTGCACCTTCGTACTTACGCAAACTTCTGACTGGCGCCCGGTGCGTCTGACTCTGACTGTCTGACTGTCCTGCAGGCAAAGGCCAGCGCAACCATCGAAGATGTTCGCAAGCTGTGGGTTCGCCTCCCAACGGAACGGACGTGCTCATGTCCAGCGATGCAGATGCTGCATGACAGGACAGCCGACAGTCTGCCTTCTTCGCGTGCGCCTGCACCAGCAATACATGCACTTATCAGACTCGGAAACTATCTAATTAGCATGATTCTCTCTTCCCTTTTCTCGGAGTAGCAATTCGCAGGGTTTGCTGACTCGATCACCAACACAATCCAGTCCGCCGTTTGCGCTCTGTCAGTTAATCTGTATTCATCGGCTCTGCGTGCGGCACAGGCTGCCAGGCAAAACTTGCTACGTCCAACAACTCGATGAGCAAGCGTTCTTGTGGCTGCTACGGGTGAGCAAGCACAGGAAGTGACATGCGCAGTGCGGGAGTCTCTTTGGATTGGAACAAGCCGAGGTTGACTAGTGGCCAGAGTTCGCGGCCATTTGCATGTGCACCTGCATGTTGTCCTACGGTCCTACAGTCGGTCGCAGCAACTTAGGCCTCCTTGAGAGTTGGCGAGCCGCATACCAAGTCGAACCTGAGCTCTGCGTTTCAAAGAGAATCACCTCCCACAAATCTCCACAAGACACCATCATCGCGCCGAGGTGCACATCTTGGGAGTCTACGACATGTGGCGCCCCGGCAAATTCTCTCTTGCCCGGGCCTAAGAGCAAACTCAAATTGTGAGCAACTGTGATGCAACCAAGACATGAAAAGACAGAGAGTGATTACTTTTAGGTGGCTGTCTGGCATGGTCTCGTCTCCTTGTCCATTCAGTGAGCTTTGCAGCCCAGGAAC